CTGCAGATACTTGGGGCAGCCAAAGCTCTGAATAGAGGACAGACTTACAAGTTGGGCTCTTCTTCTGGAGACAAGCAAGTAGCATGGAGGCACTTCTAGCCACCTTCTGCCCTGGTGATATCAGAACAACAGGCAAGAGCTGTTGTGAGGGCTGGGTGTGGATGAGGCCAAGTGGGCTCACTGGCCCTTCATTTTAGGTGAAGACCAGAGATGGATAGATGTGCTAGGGATGGGGGAGGTGCAACACCAGGGTCCACAGGCTTGGCTGAGGTGGTTCAGCTAAGTGCAAACCCCAGCTCCTTGAGTGACTGCCTTTTGATGATGAAGTATGTCCTTATCATTTCATTGTAATTTTTCTACAAAGCATTACAAGATGGCTTTGGTATTAACCCAAAACGACAGTGTGTCTGTGAGTTATTTTGCAGCACTGTGCTATTACCCTGCAAGGAAATGTCATGAAACAGGACAGAATCCGCTAATAAGAATTTTATTAAGATAAAAGGGACAGAGAGTGCTCAGGCATGTGGGAGACACGTGTGTGGAGAAGAAGAAAGAGCTGGGAATATGGCGCCGGCTTATAAAGGCTGGGCATGCACGGGTCGATGTATCTTCTCCACGCATGTTTGTAGATCACATGGCCACGCTGCACGCCTATGTAACCATGCAAAGTCATGGATCCTGGTCACATGAGATGCCTTGACCTGAAAATTGCTATCTTGCCCTGGAACTGGCTAGGCAAAAGTGTCCAGGTCTGCTGGGCATGCGCAAACACGCCCAACTATGGGGCATGTTGTGAACCCTTCAGTGTCTAGGACGTTGGGATCTAAGTGGATGTCACTTGGGATGTTGTCTTCTCGTTTCATGAGCCATGGATGTTGATGAAGGTCTTAAGTGGAGGGCCTCCTCTCTGAGGCAACTGTCAGCATTTAGTGAATTAGGTTTTCAAGTTGCCCAGACATATGAGCTGAAATGTCACAGGTGCCTGTGATGATCTTCCCCTTGATCTCTTCCAGGGTGCTTCCTCGGAAAGAGTGATACCCAGTGGTGATAAAATACAGCAGCACACCCAGACTCCACACATCTGCCTTCTTCCCATCATAGCCTTCTCCAAGGACCAGTTCTGGGGCATTGACAGTCTTGGTCCCACATTGCCCCTACAGTACAGTGCCACCTCTAACCTGGTGGAAAGACCAACGTCTGCCAGCTTCACGTTGCCCTCCTCATCTAGAAGGATATTTTCAGAATTCAGGTCTTGATGGTTGATGTCAAGGTCATGGCAACACTTGATGGCTGACAGGATCTCCCTGAATATCTTCTGTGCCTCTTCTTCCTGCAGCCGGCCCTCCACCGTTATTAGTTGGAACAAGTTTCCTGCAGGAGCATTCTCAGTCACAAAGTAGTAATGTGGTGGTGTTAGTATAACCTGGAAGAGGCGAATCATGTTAGGATGGTGTAGTTTATCCAGGGTCACCATCTGACACGATGAACCAGAGGTCTTGCTCTGCATTGTCTACAACTTTTATAGGCACTTGGGTGCCTGGGAGGCAATGACAGGCCAGTTTCACATAGGAAAAAGCACTCTGGCCAATGATAAGTGGACCCTTTATGGACTTTTCTAGTTCTTCTTTTGGGGGTGGCAGGCCATGAGGTGAGTGGTCACAGTGCTACTGTGCAGACATGTCATTGTGAAGTCAAAACTC